AATCTTGCAGTACTGTGATAGCGAAGGTAGGAAATAACCCAAATGTTCAAAAACAGGGAATTGAATAAATAAATCATTGTAAATATTTAATGTATTACTATGCACACATTAAAAGTGAAATTATAGAAAAATATGTATTGACATTGGAGAGATGTTTACGATAAATAATGTTAAATGAAAAAAATGGAATGTATCATATGATCCTATTTTGGTAAAAATGTGCGTATGTGATTACATACATGCACAGAAAATGTGAACATTTAAACACCCAAATGTCAACTGTGGTTATGTTTGAGTAGTGTGGTTACAGGAGGGTTTTATTTTGTTCTCTTTACTTCTCTGCATTTATTATATTGAGTGTGTTTGCATGCATAAGGTAATCAGTAAAAGGTATTAAACTATGCTTCTGTTGTATTTCATGTTGTAAAAGTTAAATGTCGTACCATTCCTCCCCTTAGATGGTAATTATCCCTCTGTATTCATCCAACTGTCTTGATCCATGAATTGGTTTAGTTGGAAGTGCCTGGCAGCTAGACATTCCCACTCAGGACAGAAAAGGCAAGTCTGTGAAGAGCTGTATTTCGTTCACATCCCTGACCCCACCCAAAAGGTACAACTTTAACTTCAGAGATGGGCTGAATATGACTGAAAGAAAGGTAGATTTCAAGTTGACTTTCTTCTTCTGCTATAACTAATCTTGTTCTTCCACCAAAGAATTTCAGAGTAATCTCACTCCAAATATTAATACTTTACCACTGCAGTGAAATTCATGAGAGTAACTACTAAAAGCAATCAATTATAAAAACAAAAAATCGAATAATCATACCACTCCCAAATGTTCTGGTTCATCTCAGCAGTGATAGAACATATTGCTTTCCATAAAAAGTAACTTCTGAAAAGAAAAGAAACAAGCAAAAGCTATTCCTTATAAAATCTTGAACAAGTTTAGTGAATTATCATACATGTACAGAGGCCAGCCCTTCACTGGTGGGCATGTGGGGAGGTCATTCTTTCCACTCTGAGGAAAGATCTTCCCCAGTGCCTCACATCCAGCTAGGCACAGTTGCTGGAAGCCTGGATGCATTATTTTCGGTCTCCTTCAAATTTAATTATTTTACCTAAGATGCAAAATGTTAGCACTGAATGTCACTTAAAAATACTGTTCAAAGACAAATATCATATGATATTGCCTATATGTGGAATCTAAAAAAAATGGTAAAAATGAACTTATTTACAAAACAGAAAGAGAGTCACAGATGTAGAAAACAATCTTATGGTTACCAGGCGGGAAAGGGATGGGGGAGGGGTAAATTGGGACACTGAGATTGACATATACACACTACTATATATAAAATAGATAACTAATAAGGACCTACTACTATATAGCACAGAGAACTCTACTCAATACTCTGTAAGGGAGTGCAGAGTACTCTATGGAAAAGAATCTAAAAAAGAGTGGATATATGTACATCTATAACTGATTTACTTTGCTGTACACCTGAAACTAACACAACATTGTAAATCAGCTATACTCCAATAAAAATTAAAAAAAAATACTGTTCATTCTCTTTGAGAAGATAAAACAGTGCTCTGTCTTCACTTCCTTGCTTTATACTGAAACAAAACAAAACAAACTAAACTCTTATTTTCAGACTGGAGGTGGAAAAAAAGTTTGGATTTTTGAGAGGTGAAACATGAAGGAACATCTTAGGTAACGGAATCATGCAAGATCATTATAAGACTTTAAACAATTTCATTGTCTTTGCTGTAGTCGGTTAATCAGTTAAGGCAAAAGCGGTTGTAACTTCTAATAATGTCTTGATTTTGCATTACTTTCCTCCTTCCTCATTCCATTATTCTCATCCAACAAAAACGAGAAATCCAGAACGTTTAGCATAAAAGCAGTTGAAATTTTTAAAATGTTTTCTTTTTAAGGTTTCAAAAACTTTTGGTAATACTTTTAGGTTACATGGTACTTTAATATATCAATTTAGCTATAAATTTAGAGACTAAATTTTTATTTTTTATTTTGCTCTGGAAGGAGCAGTATCATTTCCCTTCAGAAATTCTGGTGGGTAGCTTGACGATATGACACTGGAAATAATGGGACAAGAAGAAACAGCCTGGTTTGACAGAGAAGCCCATTTTAACTTTTGTTGGTATTCACTAAGGTTTTTCACATAAGTACATGTGAATAACTTTTTTAAATGTCCAATTCTTGCAAAAGCAGTTTTGAGGCTTTAAAGTGTTAGCTCTCACTTAAATATCCTGAAATATCCTCCTGAGATGGCTTGCTAATTCCTAGAGTAGTTCCCTGCCTCACACTGTGTCAGTTTGGGAAAGAAAAAAAAACCCATCCTGATAACACACACCCATAAAATTCTCTCTTCATATCACTCTCCAATTACCGTCTTCTGCCTTCTGAGGCTAGACTCTCTATTGCCCCCCTCATGCTGTGTGGTTCCCCTAGAAGGTCTCCCCACACTCCAGCCCCTGAGTGACAAGCAGACCCTAAATAAGCTGGGCCATTTCAGTCATTTGCCTTCTCTTGCTTAAGCTGATCTTTGCCAGTGATAATTCCCTTGCTCCTGCCCTCTACCCATCTGAACACATCCTCCTCTGTTGACTCAGCCTTTCTCCAAGACCCCATCCCAGATACAATTAAAATAACTACCTTGGCTGTAGTTATTGTTCACACAGGGAATTGTGTCACAGTCTCTCACAAGCTGCAGTGCTTCCTAGCAACTCACGTGGAGGTTGGCAGGATTCAGATCCTCACAAGTTACTGGACTGAGGCCTCAGTTCCTTGTGACCTGTTGACCAGGGGCTCTGTTGGTTCCTTGACTCAGAGCAAGACAGGTTGCTTTATCCAGGAGGGAGTCACAGTCTCTTGTAACCTAACCATGGACGTGGCCTGCCACCATCGTGGCTGTATTCTGTTGGTTAGAAGCAAGGCACTAGCTAAGCCCACACTCCAGGGTAGGGGATTACATACTAGGAGGTGGGGCTAACTGGGGACTAAGGCATCTTCTCCCACAGCCTGTGGGTACCTTTGGGCAGGTAGGAGCCATAGGCTGGATGGGAAAGCTGCTTATCCCCTCTCAGTTTTATGTCCCTGCCTCGAATGGTGTGGGCATCTTAATGCCATGACTGATTCCAAGACTGGAAGAGAGGTGTGTTCTAAATAATTCAGCTCTTAAATGCCATTTGAAAGTCAACTTCCTCATCTGATCTTCAACTGAAGAAAAATGGTATATTTTAGTACTGGAAGAAGAACTCTCTGTGTCGGACTTACTAAGAAAAGGTGATAGAGCTCACCAAGACAGTGCATTGTAAGAGAGATTGCAAATGTAATCTCGACTAAGCAATTTGGGGTTTATATCCTGAATTTAATTTTTGACCCACTTTAGGATAAAGAGTCCTCTGCATTTTCAAATGCAGCACCTATGAAACTTTGCTTCATTTTGTTCACTTGCCTCTCTTTGGGTTGGGAGCTACATGACAGCTTGGTCTATGTCTATTTCATTTCTAACACCAGCACTTTACCTGGCACTTAGGCTCTCAAAAAATATGCACTAATATGATATATTTTTCTATGTGTTTAATACATCCTGTACTAAATTTACTAAGCATTGCTAGAGTTTTCATAGTTGAGAATTTTACACATCTTTTTCTGGCATAAATGCTTAAAAAGAGTGACCTGGGTCTATGATATCTGTAATTTCAGTGTTATTTTGCTAGTTCATTAGAGCATTAGCAGTTTTTGCCCTTGAATCAAAGTTCTCTACTTTTCTCTCCACAGTTTCCAAATATTTTGTCCTTTTGAGTCAAGGGAATTGCCCTGATTTTATGATGACATTTGGGTACGATATTTAAACTGTTAGAAGTTATAAAAACGACCCTTTGGTATTAAATGTAATAAATGGCTCTGAATTGAATACATGCACAAGTTCTCTTATATGAGCTTTGTGAGCCCAAACTGCTCCAGTTACATATTCTCATTGTAATTGGATTCTATGACATTCTCTCATCCCCCAAGAGTATGGCAGGCCATGAAAATTTCTTCTGGCTTGGTGCTGATGTATACTTCGGGTCTTTTGAAATTTTGGATTTCATATCTAACTAGTGTATGGAACTTGTAGTAATGTTGGTACTCCCAGTCCTGAAGAGGCAGGGGTGCCTCTGCAAGAAAACAAAACAAAACAAAACTGATTTCATTCCCAAGAGATTTATTGCAACCCTCAAAGAAAGCCAGGTTGGGAGGGATGATTTTTAGAACTGACTTGTCTTTGTTCAGCCTCACCTTTACCAAGAATATTGTCTTTTCTTTACTCATGGATACTCTGTACTGGGTTCATTTGTCCTGGCTTGTGTTTTTCTTTGTAGTTCTACAATACTGTGCTTGCATGTCTTCAGTTAGACTGTAAACTCCTCAGCATCAGAGGTTATTCTCTTCTTTCTTCTTCTGTTTCGATATCTTTGATCTCTTTTCCCATTTTATACCCACTTTCACACCACTCCAGAAATAGGAACCGGCACACAGAGGGCTAGTCTAGATTCACAGTCGATGCATCAAAGTTGACTGGAGTTGAGAGGCTGGCACATGTCTGGACTCTCGTAATGAGGGATGAATGTGAGTTCCAGAAGGCATCGGTAACAATACTGAGTTAACTCTACATGGTTAAAGATGGGTGCCAGACTCCCCTTCGACCCTCGAAACACACCAGTGTATGTTACTGCCCTGAAATTGCACTGTAATATTTTCTAGCTGTGATTCATTCACAGTTTAATATGCTTCTAGTTCTGGTTTGACTTTTCCCCCAGGAAGAGACTAAAATCTCTTCATTATAATATAGACAGCGTACTGCACTTGGAATACAAATTTATCCATGTTCAGAGTAATTTTTCTTGTGACTGTCTCTACCCTGGAGAAGTGCCTTTAATGAATTACATACAAATTGTGTAATTTAAGAAGTTAATTTGGTTTTCTGGTTACACAGGACTAAAAACAGCCCTTGTAGAAAGAGATGATTTCTCATCAGGGACCAGCAGCAGAAGCACTAAATTGATCCATGGTGGTGTGAGATATCTTCAGAAGGCTATCATGAAGTTGGATATTGAGCAGGTAATTGTGTATGCTAGTTGTTAAACAAAAATTGCGACTGTGCTTTTTTCTACCCAATTAAATCAGTTTTTTTTTTTTTTATGGCTTTTAACATTCCTTCCTATTGGAAATACCTATTTAGTGTATTTTGCTGGAGTGTCTTTCAGGAGAGGTGTGCCATTTTTTTTCCTGTAGCATTATGTTTATGGGTAATCAGGGGCTTTTTCTACACAGGCATGTCAAAGTAGCAGATTTACAAAATCACTTTTGGATGTGTTACTTTTTTTTCGCGGTACGCGGGCCTCTCGCTGCCACGGCCTCTCCCGTTGTGGAGCACAGGCTCCGGACGCTCAGGCTCAGCAGCCATGGCTCACGGGCCCAGCCGCTCCGCGGCATGTGGGATCTTTCCGGACCTGGGCACGAACCCGTGTCCCCTGCATCGGCAGGCGGACTCCCAACCGCTGCGCCACCAGGGAAGCCCTGGATGTGTTACTTTTAACAATTGTGATTGTTTTGTTTTGTTTTTTTCCCCACCAATGGCCACCAAATTGCTACTTCGCAAGCAGTTTCAAGGGAACTGTGTTGTAATACATGAGGAATATTAAACTGATCCTCTTAACTGCAGATGCAATCATACTGCATATTGTCACTGACATATTCTTAAGGAAAAGATGATCTGAGTCATGCTTTTTTTTATGTCACACTCTGTTGTGTCCAGTCTGCCACCATTTGAAAACTGCCAAGGCAGTGTGGAAGATGACATTTCCCAGAGGAGTAAAAAAAAAAAAAAAAAAAATCAACTGAACTCCCTATCTGCTTTTCGTACATGAAAAACAACAGCAGCACTTACTTGACATTGTCAGTTTTGAATCTGTCCCCTTTTCTTATGTGTCTGTTTAGCATCATGATGGATGTGAAGAAAAGAGCATAGGGTTTAGAATCAGATGACTTGTGATGTGTTTCAGCTTATTTATTTAATTTCTATGAGCCTCGGTTTTCTTCTTTGTAAAATTAGTATTATGATAGTAATGCTGGGCCTTCAGAGAGATGTAATGAGGACTAAAGACAAAAGCTTTTTAATGATAGTCTGTAAAATACTGTGCAACTCTTAAGTATCATCTCTGCTTGGGCTAGTGGAGGCAAGAAGGAAACGTTTAACATGAATCTGAACAATCTGTTATCTCTTACATGAGAAAATATAATGGGGGACTGAGAAAAGGGACAATACAGAATGCAAGATAAATTGTTACAATAATCTTGTAACTCAAGTCAGGAAAATATCTTACACCTGGGAACTCTGACAGCATGTTTTTCTCCTATGCAAATACAGTTTAAGGTTTCTAAAAAATCTTTCAGGTTGACAGCATGATGTATTATTAGAAATTTGATTAGGAGGGAGCTATCCTTGCTCAGAGGTAGAGAGGTTTCTGTGTATCAATCAATTGGCAGGGTGTCTATTTGCCATTTGAAAATATTATGATCTGTTATTGCCAAACTAATTTTCTCTGTTTTGCTTTTCAGTACAGGATGGTAAAAGAAGCCCTTCATGAGCGTGCCAACCTACTAGAAATTGCTCCCCATTTATCAGCTCCGTTGCCTATAATGCTCCCAATTTACAAGTAAGCCTTTTGGTATCATCTGTATACTCTTTGCTTATCTGAGGTCAATAGAACAAAGTTTTAATGGAAATAGTTCCTCAATGTGTATTTCTTAATGTAGTTTTAATTAGTCCTAATCTTTAATCCTTTTAAAATATTTTCCTTTGTTGCATTTTAAAAAGTGTGACTTTTCCTATATTAGTCTCTGCTGACCCACCTCTAAGGGCTAGCTCTTAAAGGCAAAGGAGGTTGTGTTCTGCACTTACAATTAGTAGTTCTTTACTCCAGTTTCTGAGAGTATATACAGGAGCAACTACATTTGCACTGGGGAACATAAGAGGGTCATTTGCAGACTAAAATGCAGAGCCAGAAAGAATCCTGCTGCAAAATCTGAACTGACATATATCAACTCCAAACCCTAAGCCATTTTGTGTCATTTTAAATTTCCGAGTTAACCAAAACTGAAATTTGGTTTGGAGGTGTCAAATAATCAAAAATTATTAAACCCAATTTTCTAAATGTTGTTAGAGCTATCCATCAAGTTGACTTAAGATGGAATACAGGTGGTAGGAAATACAGAATTATGTAACTCTGCTAGCTGCATGAGTCTTGTGGGGCCTGGAAGCAGATTTTATAATTTTTGTCTATATTTTATCGTAGATTTCTTAGGACATCTTAAGCCAATGATTCTCTACCCTGGGTGTACATTAGAGTCGCTCTGATCTTTGCCCTAGTCTAGTTAAATTGATCCCTAGAAGCACGAGGCCCAGGCATCTATATTTATTTTTGATGCTCCCCAGAAAATCTAATATGCAGTCAGGTCCAGAACCACTGCCTTAGAGATGATTCATTTACTTTTATAATTCAGCTGGGCTGGTGTCAGAACAGGCCGGCACGTCTCTTGTTTCTTTTGCAGTACACTTCTAGGTATACTTTGCTTTTCTTAATAAAAAGTGTCTTGTATCTTAAAGTGACATTCTATAATGTTATACTCTGTTTCTAAAGAAACCTTTTCCCCTGTTTATGCTGTAGGTGGTGGCAGTTACCTTACTACTGGGTGGGAATCAAGCTGTATGATCTGGTTGCCGGAAGTAATTGCCTGAAAAGCAGTTATGTCCTCAGCAAATCAAGAGCCCTTGAGCATTTCCCCATGCTCCAGAAGGATAAACTGGTAGGAGCAATTGTCTACTATGATGGTATGTGATTTTTTTTTTTTTTTTGACAAGATACTTTTCTCCCACTCGTGACCCTTACAGCATATTCTTAACGAGACAGTTTTGCATCCTAATTAACGTTAATCTTACACAACACACAAACGTACATGCGCGCACTCCATATAGTGTTTTGCTTTTAATATTGCTTGTTTTTGCATATTCCTTTTCTTCTTTGATTTCGACTTTGTATCTCATGGTTGGTTTGGTCCATTTTCCATCATTATGTATTTGGTCACCACCTTCATGCCATTTAATTTGTTATGTTTGCCGGTGAACACTTGCCTTATGAATATATTATAATGTTGAAAGCAGCTGAGGATCTGTTAGGTTTTCTAGATGAAACCTCTATTTTCAAGGGGTTATAAACCTAGAGAAAAATGCGCCCTGGGCTGAAATTGACATGTTTGTATTTCGCACAGGGCACAATTCTTGAACATATAATTTATGTGAGAAGGTAGATGAACATTGCATCTGTTAAACCAGTCCCTCAGGTTTTAATGCTTATTTTATTGTTGTTAGATGTTTTCTAACAGTGACATTATCTAGTACCCGTTTGCCACGTGTTCAATGTTCATTCTTTGTGTTTGTGTGTGTGTGTGTGTGGACAATACAATTTTGTACACTTTTATTTGAAGGAACTAACCACTTAATATATCTCCAGATGGACCACAATACAATACAAAACAACACAGGAAAAGCCATTTGTGAAGTTTTACTATAGTTTTAAAGGGTGAATGGATTTTAAAAGTAGTCCAAGGATGTCTATTTATAAAGAAATAGCTGGACACAGATTCAAAAAGTCTTAGAAATTTGTGGCACAAAGGCCCTATAGGGTCAGTGAGGTTTTTTTACCCCTACTATGTGATCTTTTGTATTTAGTGTTAGATATCTAAACTCTTAACATGAAGAAGTGTTTTTGTTGTTTTGTTTTTCCAGGAGACTTTGATATTTATACTTCATAACATGGGATATCCTTAAGGCTACCCCTACCTTTTTTTCTTCTTCTCAGTGTTAGGTTTCTGAATCAATTTAGCTGTCTTTCAGGCTTTCATATATGAATGCAAAATGTGTACGTGCAGATGGGGCAACGGGGATAAACCCAAGAAGATGTGTTAGGAGCAACAATATTAGAAAAATGTTAAGGGTCTTAGACAAACATTAAAAGCTAGAAAATTCACAGTTTACAGTGCCTTCCAGCATCTAAACACCACGGGGTGGGGGGCACTTAACTACTTTTTTGGTGCCCCTGATTGAGCCTACATGTTAAGGGACAATCTTAACTGTGAATATTCTTTCTCTGCTTTCAGACCCTTAATGTTAATCCAGTGTAGTTTGTTGGGTGACTATATTAAAGAGGTTTTTGATCCAGGAGGAATAAAAAGGCATTCTGCAAATGGCCCCCTGCCCATCCTGACCTGAAAGTGTTTGTGCCCTTTGCCTCTTAGTTTCAATCCCTCCCGTGCAAACTCTCTCAAGAACTTGGCCATTTTCTCCACCATGTGATATATTGAACACGAACTACTTTTATTTGTTACTTTTATTTTTTTAGCTTGTGCATATCTGAACCTCCTTGAGAGGAATATTAGTGGCTGTCATATCTGAATTTGTGCCATCTGTGTTATGTTGGTTTGATATTGTTATGAATTATAGATTCTTAACAATTCTACATGGAGAAACCAAGGGAAATCTGTGTCATATACTGCAGGAGAAACACTATCCTATTAGAATCAAGAGGAAGAAGAATTTCTTTTATCTAGAATTGGCTTTTATAGCTTGTTACAGGTTGCAAAATTATGAGTTTAGCTATTGAAAAGTTAAAAATTATTATTTAAAATAATTTCAAATTGATATTTGAAAATTGATTGTGAAGCCCAAGTCTTGAAAAAGTAAAAATAATTCTAGTCACTGGAAATAATTTCTTTTTAAATCTTGTTCTGAAATGATGCAGGTCCAACTATGTCATGCCTGAGGCAAGACAAAACAACAATGTGAGACAGTGTAGTTCTATGGTTTCACAGCTGTATTCACAGATAGGGCAACTCTTGTTAAAGCTAATGGTGTGATGAACAAATTAAATACCAATATAGAAATAAGGTAGAAAGGAACATATAGTAAAGGAATTAAATGTAATAAATGCGTGCTCAGAGAAAGGAAGGGATGACTAACCCTTCAACCAGAAAAATAACATTATTATCCTGCTACCAAAGTATTTCAGAGAGGACAATATACTTCCTAAGCATATACCATTGCAATTGAAGTCTAAACATTGTAATTTATAAGATAAACATTTCTTAACAACAACAACAACAGCAACAAATACTCTTCTTCTTAAATAATCATTATGAGAATGTAGTAACAGTCTCCCAAATGATTTCAAAATGCATTTGGGCTACACAAAATAACGTTTTTTTAACTTAAAAAAATAATTTATTGAGGTGAAATTTACATAACATAAATTTAACCATTTAAAAGTGAACAGAAATAATAATTTTTATAATTCCCACCTTGGGAGAATCTTGATCATAATGAAAAAGTGGCACAAGTAACTAAATGAACTTTTAAAATCTACAAGAAATTTTGCCAATTAACAACTCTGATTAGTTATCCATCACACAGTTACTTCAGTACCAGTGAAAAATGAAAAAATAATGGTGTGAAAATATAGTCAGACAGACTACTAAACATCACCATTAACATGGAGGGACCAGTGACTGAGTCCATCTTTAAGATTCTTTCAAAACTGAGATGTTAGGTCTGTAAGATATTCCCTCTGAAGTACAAAATGTACAAAGGTCAAAAAAATTTTCTTAATTATTCATGCAAACAGTTTATGCTAAAAAAATAGTGATGATCATTGCATAGGATTAAGGCAAAGTCTTTTCCTCCACAAAAGTCCACAAAGGGAATAAGATAAATTCCACATACATTGTTTTTCTTTTTATCTTTTTTTTTAATTGAGGGATAATTTACATATAACGTTATGTTGGTTTCCGGTATACAACATAGTGATTCAATATTTGTGTACATTGCCAAATGATCACCACAGTAAGTCTAGTTAACATCTATCACCATACATCATTACAAACTTTTTTTTTTCATATGATGAGGGTTTTTAAGATTTCTTAGCAACTTTCCAATACACCATACAGTATTATTAGCTATAGTCACTATGCTGTACATTACATCCCCAGGACTTATTTTTCTTATAACTAGAAGTTTATGTCTTTGACCACATACTTTTAAATGTAGTAATTATAGTGGCACTTCTGTGCTTGGCATAGGTACGATCCATTGCCATATTTTGTTAAACTCTGAGAAACAAACTCACATATGTGGAGGAATAACTACCATCTTTTTCAGTATAGACAAAGTAAATGTCAAATTTCTCAGTAAGATCCATTTGAAGTGAAAGTTGGGATAGGAAGTGACACACTAGGTTATTTTTTCTTCTTATATTCTGTTAGAGAAAGCAATATAGTCGCCTCACTGGTTTTCCGCCTGAGACGTGTCCTAGTATTTCCTCTCTGCTCCTTTCCATATCCTACCAGAGATCCACCAGCTGGACCCTGTCCGTGGCCATCACCACTGATCAGGGGGTCTCCACGTAGAGAGTGTTGTGACTGGTGCAACTCTCCCACGTCAGCAAAAAGTATTTAAGGCACGACAGGCTCGGGTGACTTGGCAGGCTGTGAGGTTATGTGAGCCAGCTGTGGAGGGCGAGCCAGTTTCCTCAGAAACTTACTTGGGCTTCCTCCGTCAACTTTACTTCAATCTCCCTGCTCCCAGAGAAGATCTTTGGTGCCATTCTAGTTGGACTTCAGTCATCCAATCCAGTGCACAGAAAATGAGACATAATTAAAAATCATTAAATATTTAAAACCGTTAGATACCCCCATTAAGCTTCTGTAAGATGAAACTGGAGAACAAAATTACAGCTTTAAATTCTTCCTTCTGAGAGTCCAGGCGGTGACAGAGAGAGATGTCTGTTATTTCGTACCGATGATGCCCTTAAGTATTCCTTATGCACATATGAAAATAGCAACCTACGAGAAATTACGTTGGCTTTCCTAGTGTAAATAGAAGTTGGTTACAGCCATGTTTCAAAGGGGGAATTAAAGCCCAGGTTTCACTAGAATATTCATGTTTATCCCAACCTAAAACTCACAGCATACAAATAGATGAATTCAGCTCGTGAGAGAGCAAAGCCAATTTAATCTCTGGCTCCCCTGAGGTAAATGCAGCTCATGGTCCTTGCCCCCGCCCCCCCCCAACCTCAGCTATAATCCCTGGCTCCTGGAGGTAAAAATGCACTGAAGTGAGGAAAATTCTGCAGCAGGATATAATGATCCAAAATGACAGGGACACTAATGACAATGAATTTCATGTCTCCCAGTCATGAGCCGGAGATGCTTGACTAGGCTGACTTATACAATTAAATTGTTACAGGTACAGCAGGAGATGCAGTTAGCTGTGAGCTTTGGGGAATGAGGCCTCTGGCAAAAGGCATATTGTGGAATCCAGACTCTTTTGTTAGGAACAAACTATTATTCCTCTAGGCATGCACCCGCAATCATATACGTCAATAAAAGAAAGCCTGGGTTAAAGACAAGTCTTTTAAGGTGTTGATTTTATCTATTTTGAAAGCTTAAAAAAAATCAATTACCCAATAACACAAAGGTGATTTTTTTTTTTTTTTTAGTCTTATGTTTTCATTTTTGTTTTTCCATTGAGTTCTTGGAACATAAGTCAAATCTAAAGATGGTGCCTTTAATCCTCATTTACATTATTTGCAAACACAATTGTTGAACTATAATTGGGTGTTATCTACTTTAAATTTGGACAGACACATTAATTTCTTCAGAACAGAAATAGATTGAACAAAACAGCAGTACCATTATGCAAGTTCATCTCTGTGCTTCTTAATGCCGTTCTTGTGAGGCTGTTATGGTGATTCTAAAGTGGTTGTGTGAGCAGCCTCCTGG